CCACCCCCACACAAGCCCTTATCCTTGTTTCAAATGGCCGGATATCAGGTGCAGCAAGGCCTGGGGGGAATCCGCTACAAGGAAGCCAAGGATCCTGACTGGGTCAGGCCCAGCCTCCTTTGCCCGCTGCAGCAGCTACCCAGCTCACCGGCAGCTTCTTCCACGCCACCCTTAGCTGAGGTTCAGCCCATTCGTCATGCTCTGCCCAGTCCCCCAGGCCCAGTTGGAGGGATGCTCCCACACACACACAGAAGCCCAAGAGCACTTGGTGGCCCCCAGGAGGCACTTTACTGGGACACATTGGCCATTGCTGGACTTCTTTTACCAGCAGATCTGCTAAGGGCAGGATGGGACCTCATTCCTCTTTTTAGCCTCCCTTCATATGAAATAAATTCACATCGTAGAGTCCTTACCAAACATACAACTTTCTCACAATGTGAAATGTTTGCTGGAACGGATTGAGAGGAAACGGGTGTCATGAATGAATTCACACGGTTCAAAGTCAGGAGTATTTCCAGTCAAAAGAGAAATAACCTACCAGTGGTGAACTTTCAGGCTTCTATTTGAAGATGGTATATTTACAAGAGGGAGGAAGCTTCCAGAAGCCCTTCACATCCCTCCTCAGGACTTTGTGGAGCGCCCCCTTGGTGGGCAGGAAGAGCACAGACTTACAGGGTGGATGGGCCTCTGAGTGCCCCTCCTCCACTTGCTTCCTTTCCAGCCTATTTCCTTGTCTGTCACCCCCAAATCATGTCACCTACCTCCTAGGGTCACCATGCGGGTGATGTGATCTCTTGACCCAAAAAAAAAAAAAAACAAACCTGTTGCCATTGAGTTGATTCTGACTCACGGCAACCACATGTGTTACAGAGCAGAACTGCCCCCTAGGGTTTTCTTAGCTGTAACAGTTTGCCAGGACTTTCTTCTGTGGCGCTGCTGAGTAGATTCGAACTGCAAACTCTTAGTAGCAGCCGAGCACAAACCACTTGTACCATCCAAGCTCATTTTTTTCTTTTTTTTTTCCAGGCTCACTTTTGATCTCCTGATGGAACATTAATGCTTGCCTCTTCTCCTTCCTTGCCCAGGGCTCTGCCTTCACACAGCCCACACTACCCTGTCAACCCTCCACTTTTACCCTGGACCCTATCATTCAACTGGCATTAAGTGAGCACCTACTATGTACTTATCCTTTGAGTTAAATTCTGGAAAAACAAAATTGACTAACAGTCTGTCTAGGAAAAAGGTGACTTTAGTTCATTCATTCAATAAGCATTTAGTGAGCTCTTTCTTTGTGCCTCACCCTGACTCAGGCCAGCACACACTAGCTGCTCAGTGGATACTATAAGGAAGTCTTCCCAGGAGGCCCTGGGTACAGGAGGCAGTCTTCTTGTTTAGAGGGGCCAGGTGGGTAAGGAAAATGGGTGAAGCCAGCCAGTCCACAAAGGAAGTTATACAATACATGAAGTGAGACACCATGAGGGAGAGATTGTTGTCGGTGTCCTTCACTACTATATTTTCAGCATCTACAGCTGTGCCTGGCACACAGTGGGTTATCAATCACTCTTGGTTGAATGAATGAATATCTCATTTTTCTTGACTGATGTAATCCGTTCAACCTTTCATTTTCCAGGTTTTGATAGGGACATAGATAGAGAGCACATCTCTTTATTATAAGAAAAACAGTAGTGCAAGTTCAGTGATAAAAGCCTACTGACAGTGGTGTCGGGGAGAGACTAGAGCCCCGAGTGTGGTGGGGACTGCGGGGAATGCGCCTTGTTAAAGTGGCAGTCACAACTTGGGTTCAGTCAGTCTTATCACTGGGGTAAGGATACAGAAGCCCAACGAGGCCACATCTTTGCATTTCCCAAGAGAAGCCAGAGGTACAGATTTGTATGGGAGATCTACCAATGTTTAAAATGTTGGCTCAAATTTTTTAAAAACATGGGCTGGGTCAAACAAAACACCTTTGAGGGTGAGATTTGACCCCAGGCTGCCAGTGGGTGGCCTGTAGTTTATGGGCAGCTCTGGAGCCTGACAATACATGTGACCTCAGGCAAACACCAGGGACCTTCTGCTCAGCTCACCACTGTTTACCCAACACTCAGCCCAGTGCTGGTTACAGGGCAATTACTCATTCATTTCTTAATTCATGCAACAAATATTTATTGAGCATCTACTGTATGCTAAGCACTGGGGATTCTGGGATGCAGGGCACAAAGAAATAAGGCAATGATTAGTGTGATGTGGAATGTTTAAGTAGCGTGATATGATAGTGACAGGTGGGAGGTGCTTAGATTTGAGCCAGCGATGCAGAGAGCAGGGAAGAGCTTGACCAGCAGAGGAAACAGCTGGTGCAAAAGCCCCAGAGCGGGAGTGAGCCTGGTGTGTATGTGATGGATCATGAGGTTGAGCGGAAGAAAGGATGTAGGAAGTGAGGTTGGAGAGGCAAGTCGGCCACATCATCTGAGGCTTCACGTAGTGGGAAGGTGTGGTGTCTGGAAGCCATGGGATCTGCTATTGGGAGGATGATGTGTGTGTGTGTCTGTAGGGGAGTGGGGGTCAGCGAGGGTGGCAGTAGGGAGACCAGTGAGGGGGCTACTGTAATGGTCATGGATTGAATGGTCATGACATGGGTGTCATGGATTGAATTGTGTCCTCCAAAAATATCTGTCAACTTGGCTAGGTCATGATTCCCAGTATTGTATGATTGTCTACCGTTGTGTCATCTGATGTGATTTCTCTATGTGTTGTAAATCCTATCACTATGATGTAATAAGATGGGTTAGTGGCAGTTATATTGATGAGGTCTACAAGATTAGGTAGTGTCTTAAGCCAGTCTCTTTTGAGATATAAAGGAGAGAGGTGAGCAGAGAGACATCAGGACCTCATACCACCAAGAAAGCAGTGCCAGGCGCAGAGCACATCCTTTGGACCTGAGGTTCCTGTGCTGAGATGCTCCCATACCAAGGGAAGACTGATGCATCACAAGGACCTTTCTCCAGAGCTGACAGAAAGCCTTCTCCTGAAGCTGATGCCTTGAGTTTGTACTTGTAGCCTACTAGACTATGAGAGAATAAATTTCTCTTTGTTAAAAGCCATCCACTGGTGGTATTTCTGTTATAGCAGCACTAGATGACCAAGACACTGGGCTAGGGTGGAAGCACCACGAGGGCCAATTCTGGTATGTCCCGATGGAAGGACGACCTCTCTTGTTAGTACAGTAAAGGAAATAGGGGCTCAACATAAGATGGATGGAGGGTTGGGACTTGAACAGTGGCTTGAATGGTCATGACATGGGTGTCATGGATTGAATTGTGTCCTCCAGAAATATCTGTCAACTTGGCTAGCTCTTGATTCCCAGTATTGTATGATTGTCTACCATTTTGTCATCTGATGTGATTTCCCTATGTGTTGTAAATCCTATCACTATGATGTAATACGATGGGTTAGTGACAGTTATATTGATGAGGTCTACAAGGGGCCAGTTACCAAAATAGAGAAGATGGGGGTGGGCAGGCTGGGAGTGGGGAGTCAAGGCTCTGGTTTGGACAAATTAAGATTGAAAGGCCCATTAGACATCCAGGTGGCACAGTCCTGTTGGCAACTGGAAATCAAGGCTGAACCTTAGGAGGAAAGGAAGGCTGAGGTAGAAATTTGGATTTGCCAGAAGTTAGATGGTTTCCTGGAGCCTTGTGTTTTGCCAGTGCCTTCAGTGCAGCTTGGACTTCTTCCTTCAATACCATCAGTTCTTGGTCATATGCTGCTTCCTGAAATGGTTGAACGTTAACCACTTATTTTTGGTACAGTGACCTGTGTATTCCTTCCATCTTCTTTTGATGCATCCTGCATCATTTATAACTGGACCAATAAGCAACATCATGATAAACAGAGAAAATATTGAAGTTGTCAAGGATTTCATTTTACTTGGATCCACAATCAACGCCCATGGAAGCAGCAGTCAAGAAATCAAATGATGTATTGCATTGGGCAAATCTGCTACAAAAAATCTCTTTAAAGTGTTAAAAAGTAAAGATGTCACTTTGAGGACTAAGGTGAGCCTGACCCAAGCCATGGTATGTTCAATCGCCTGATATGCATGTGAAAGCTGAACAATGAATAA